GGTGGGGGGCGCTGTTCTGGGGTTGGGTGGGGGTGTGGGGTGAGCAGAGCAAAACAGCCCCCCACAGAGCTTACATTCTCGTGAGGGGAGAGGGGAGGGTGCGTCAGATACATCTCAGATAACTCCCAGCAGAAAAGTGTGAGACGTGGAAAGAGCTGGGAGATGTGGCAGTTGATGCGGAGGCCCGGTTCCCGCCTGGCAGCATCTCAGAAACAGAAAATCGAGAGGAGGAAGTAACAGGAGAAAAACCACTGATCCTGAAGGAAGGCATTAGTATTAAAACTGAAGGATGCGCTGAGCACTGAGCAGAACTAATGATGAAAAACCCCATCCCCAGCACATCCTTCTGGTTTGGGCACCGAGGGCAGAGGAAAGATGCCGAAAGCTTCTAAATTAACTCCAGCCAGTACCAGATTCATGTGCTGCTCGTCGGGGACCTTGCAAGCCGGCACAGTGACAAAACGGCCTCCCAGTTCTGAGGAGGAAAACACGTTGGTCCCAGCTTTTTTTATCAACCAAGGGTGAGTCAAACGTTACGATGAAGTAGTAGTTTTCAGATGCTCAAGGATTGAGAGGCATTTTCTCCGGCGTATATTTTTGGAGGAAGAAAAAGGTGAGGATGCTCCAGCAAAATGGAATAGACATCTAAGAGAGAAATGCGGGCTCTGAGAAGAATCCTCCGTAAACCCAGGACACGATGGAGAGGAGGCAGCTCAGCAGCAAGCCTAGACAGCGCCAGCGCCAGCGCCGGGTCGCGACAGGGAGCCGTGTCGGAGAGCTCTAAAAGGAACATGTTTTCAGAAGAAAGCGAGTGTGTTTCAGCAAAGAGCCTGGGAAGCTGAGTGGTCTTTATGACAAAGCTTTTGTGAACAACAGAAAAGTAAAGGGACGTGGAAACTCTGGGAAACCCAAAAGGCTGCTCAGGAAAGAAGGTCCAAATAAAAGCAAACAAAAGTAAGGTGTTGTGAAGGGGAATTTGAGTGTTACCTTGACTGGCCACGGGGCGTCCAGATTGTCATGGCTTCTGGGGTGTCTGGCAGGTGTTTCCAGGTGGGTTAGCCTTGGAGTCGGTGGATTCAGTAAAGCACACTGCCCTCCCTGGCGACGGTGGCAGCATTTAATCCGCGGAGGGCAGAACAGAACAGAACAGAAAGTGAGGAACAAAGAACTTGCCCCTTTTCTTGCTTCGTGGTTGGAGCCAGGGCACCTCAGCTCACTGTCTCCCACGGCGTGCCTGGGACTTGCCCCGCCCACCCCGGCTCTCGGGCCTCTGGTCTCAGACTGACCGTGCTGCCGCTGTCCTGGGCCTCCAGTCTGCGGACGGCAGGGACTTCTCAGCCCCGCCGTAGGTGGTGTGAGCCAGTCCCTCGTGGTCACTCTCCGAGCTCTGGTTCTGCTTCTCTGGAGGACGTGACTGATACCGGCGTGACCTGAGCAGCTGGTGGGAGGCAGGACAGACTCCATCGGAAGCGGCGCTGGGAGCGGCCTCCCTGGAGGGGCTCAGTGCTCAGTCCAGAGTCATCGATGGTGAAGGTGGTTTCTCTGACCACAAGGCGCTGAAACTGAAGGCTGGCTACAAAGGGTTAAAATTTAAAGTCTAACGGCTCAGCCACTTAGAGGTTAGGCTCTTAACAATTCTCAGATTGGAGACGAAACCGGAACTTAAACTGCTGGCCACGCAGTGGACACGAGTCAGACGTGGCGAGGGGGAGCCGCTGGTCCGCTCAGCAGGGTCCCGGCCTGTGAGGGAGTGAAGGTGAGCCAGCCTCTGGGCCCGGAACCCAGGGGAGGAAGGTGCAGCAAAGCAAACAGGGGCCGGGGAAGGAAGGAGACAGAGAGCGAGGGGGAGGCAGGGAAACGGAACGGGTTAGAGTCAATCACCAAACTAGGAGATGCTGGCGTGAAAGAACCACGCCGCGACGCGCTGCCGGCAACGCAGCGCTCACGAAGGAGGGCCGGCCGCCCTGCGGGCGTTGGGACTTCAGGACGACCCTGTCTGTACCTCTGACGC